TCTCTCTAATTCTCTCTCTCAACCTCTCTCATTCTTTCTCATTCCCTCTCTCATTCTCAATCTCATTCTATCTCTTTCATTCTCTCTCAGACTCTCTCTCTCATTCTGTCTCCCATTCTCTCTCAACCCTCATTTTCTCTTTCTCTCAATCTCTCATTCTCTCACTTTCATTCTCAATCTCTCTTGTCTCTCAATCTCTCATTCTCATTCTCTCTCAATCCTTCTCATTCTTTCCGTCTCATTCTCGCTCTCCCTCTCCTTCCCTCCCTCCCTCCCTCTCTCTCCCTCTTTCTCTCTCTCACACACCCACACACCAACAACCAGTAGAGAATTCCTGTTCAATTTAAACTAGACCTAATGTATGTGTACTGCCTCCTCCTCCTAGAATCTGACAAGACTGGACAGGGGAAACCTTACCACCCCTGTGACCTTGAGCCGCAGGCTGCCGGCAAAAATTTAGCAAGACTTTCTCCTGTAAAAACCACAGGAAATCTTCAATCCAAGTTTGGACTCTTGGCCTCTGGACTTCTATTTACAGTGGTTGCCCCCATCCTCAGGATGACGTGATTCCTTTTTGTCGCCTTTCTGGCAAACGAAGTCTGTTGTAGTTTGCCGGCAGCCCATGCAGGCGGCAGCAGAATTGGACAGTGGGGAAGAACGGGGACCTGTCTGGGAGTCTGGGGAGGACTTGGACGAGGGTCCTGCATCCGATGCAGAGGTGGGGTCAGGACCATCTGGGAGTGGGGTGCTGACTCCGGAGCCTCCAGAGTCTGGCAGCAGCGAGGCAGAAGAACGAGGGGAGCCTGTTCCCAGTGCGCGTGTGCGCAGAGCTGCTAGAAGGCGAGAGCAGCTGAGACAAAAGGGGCGACTCGGGAGTAAGGCTGGGAGGTGATTGCCCCTCTCCTAAGGTATAAAGGACAGGCAAAGGTAGAGAAACCTTTGCAGGAAGCAAAATCATTCGCTTGAAGCTCTGTGTGTACTTTAGTTGTTGTTTTTTACAGTTCATTTGGCCCTTTAGTTGTTGGCAGCAATTCCAAGGAGAGAAAGGTGGGTGCTGATCTCGAGGAACTATGTGGGACTCATTACCGGCTGGGAACGAACGTAATTCCTAGTGTTGAAGTAAAACAAAGAGTTGTTTGGATTAAGCGTGTGCTTAATTACGGTCCCAGGAAACCTCGGTCAGAACAAAGTCCACGGGAAAAGCCAGGTTCGCTCGACAACCAGGTGACTAACTTCACAACTGCAGGGACTCTGTTTAACAACCGTGGGCAGGAAGGTCGTTAAAATGAGGCAAAGCTCACTTTAAAACACCCACGGCGCAGATGTTCGGGGACCTCAGTTGGGGTCGGTAAGCCGAGGACGAGCTTTGCATTGAGGGCCTCCCGAGTTGAACGCCCGTTTTCTTTGTTTCCACCTTCCGACAGGGCCATCGGTTCGCGGCTGTCCGTCTCGCGGAACGTCTCGTCCTCCCCCTGCCTTCAGAGGAGAAGCCGAGGCATCCGTTCCCTGGAGCACGTCCAGGTCCAGTTGTGGCTCACTTACAGCCGGAGGGGAGATCTGGCCATCTCGCTGACCAGTCCCATGGGAACCACCTCCACCCTGGTGGACGTCAGGTGAACTTGGTCCCCCTGCGTTTCTGCAAACCGGTCTTCTTCCCCCCCCCCCCCCCCCCCCCCCCCCCCCCCCCCAGAAACCCGGGGGGGGCGCCCCCCCCCCGAACCCCCCCCCCCCCCGACTTCAGCACAAGTGGCAACCCTGGTTTCAACTGGCATCGATTGATGATGTTTACAGCATCTGGGATCATTTATTTTATTGATTCGATGTATCAATTGCTTACGAGATAATAGGTATAAGTAGAAACATGAGAAAGAATGCAGGAAATAGGTACGAATCAACGGGGACAATAGGACAGGGATGGGAGGCACGATGGTGCGCTTATGCGCGCCCCTTACAGACCTGTCAGGAATGGGGGGAGGTCAATAGCGGTTAGTTTGAGGTTAAAGGAGTCGGGGTTAGAGACAGTCACTTATCTGAATTGATATAGGTTCTCCTGCTTGAGCAGGTGGCTGGACTAGAAGACCTCCAAGGTCCCTTCCACCTTCTATTCTATTCTATTCTATCCTATCCTATCCTATCCTATCCTATTCTGAATTCTATTCTATTCTATCCTATCTTATCCTATCCTATCCTATCCTATCCTATTCTGAATTCTATTCTGAATTCTATTCTGAATTCTATTCTATTCTATTCTGAATTCTGTTCTATTCTATTCTATCCTATCCTATCCTATCCTATCCTATCCTATCCTATTCTGAATTCTATTCTATCCTATCCTATCCTATCCTATCCTATTCTATTATCTTATCCTATCCTATCCTATTCTTAATTCTATCTTATCCTATCCTATCCTATCCTATCCTATCCTATCCTATTCTTAATTCTATCCTATCCTATCCTATCCTTAATTCTATCCTATCCTATCCTATCCTATCCTATTCTGAATTCAATTCTATTCTGAATTCTATTCTATTCATTATTGGCTTCCGTGGGCCTAATCCTGTCAGACTTGTGCAATTGTTTTATCCTCTTACCTGTTGCCTCTCGTCTGCCTTTCTTAATGAATCAGTGTTGTGTCTGCCAATTTCTCAATGCATGAGCTTAGGTCATGTCCTGTCCTCCTTAATCCCATCACCTGGAGCTGAAGATGTTTCGCTTATGAATTGATTGGCCCGGAGTTCTTCATGGGCACAAAATCTCCACCTCTACAGACTTCAAGCACAGGATCAAGAAAAACTGGGGGCTGCTTTCTGCCTTTAAGAACATGTTTCTCCGCTACTCCTTTTGGGGAAATATGGCATGTTTTCCCCCAAATAAGACCCTGCCTTAAATAATTTTTTTTTCACCCCCAAAAGGCACCAGGTCTTATTTTTGGAAGATAACCTCACTTGTGCACGTTGCCCCCGGCCTACTTTTGGCTGTTCAGAGGCCTTCAGGAACTACATCTTCTTCTGCAGCCAGCAAGACTTTCCGGAAGGCCTCTGCAGCCAATAACGGAGCTCTGGGTCGATCCAGAGCTTTGTTTCCAGCTCCAGAGGCCTTCAGGAGAGCCTTGCCAGCCTTGCTGGCTGCAGAAGAAATAGGCCGGCAAAGCAGGTGTCGGGGTGCGCGAGGCCTGGCTACACCTGTCCACAGGTCAATAGTAGGGCAGCTTCACCATCGCCCCCATCCCCACCCTAGATTAATTTTTACCTGTGCATTCTGGAGTGGGTGGGATCTTAATTAGGGCTTATTTTGGAGGCAGGGCTTATATTGGGCGCAGGTGTAAAAAATCAAGCTAGGACTGTGTTAGGGATACACCCTAGCAGACTGTGCACGGCAGTCAGGCAGTCAGGCAAAAATATGTGAGATAAACGTTTTTGTAGCTTACACTCAGTAAAACAGATACATAGTGCTAGTTAAATAGTTTATTCCAGTAAGAGTTTTAGCATAGTCAAAAACAGTCCATATGTCATTCACTAGTTCAGTCCATCCGGGGATTATTCAGTTGCAAAGTCCAGTGTCAAAAAAGAGAGGTCAGTAAACTTACAAATATCAGTCCAGCAATATATCTCCTCGCAGTAGAGATATGAAGAAGTCAAACCTCCTTTCTTCCTTCGACGTTCAAAAACTCAGCAGCAGGGAACATGCAGTTAGCAAATCATCAATCCAGCAATCGTCAGCAATCGTCAGCAATCCAGCAGGTTCTCTTGCTCCCTCTTACGGCGGTTTCACAACCGCACCCAAAATTACATGCTTTGCAGGTTAAAGTGACACACACTTAAACTTACAATCATAGTTTATATATATTATTTTACCCAAACTACATTAGGTAACCTTGTTATTCCTAACATTCTCCCCTTTTGGGTAATATAATAATATATATATATATCTATTTACAACCTCAAACCATAGTCATCACAACTCCCTTTGTGTTTCACTGGACCTTGGGCTTTAGTAAATTGATCAGCAATATTTTGTTCAGTCATACAATATTCCAGTCTTATTAAACCATCCTTTACAGATTGCCTTACATTCAGGTATCTAAGATCTGTATGCTTAGATCTCGTTTTCAGGGTATCGTACTTTCTCGTACTTTCAGGGTAGGTCGTATTTTCAGGGAAATGGGGTAATATTCCACCTCTTCATATTCCCCTAAATATTTCATTCCCCGGGGGAGGGAGCGGCTTCCCACAAGGGCAACCGATTTCTTTTTTCTTAACGCATCTCACTAACTGCAGGAAGGGGGTGGAGGGAGCCCATTTCAATGTGAGCCTCCTGTTTTGCCGACCGCTAGGCCCTACGACACCAGCCGAGAAGGCTACAAGGACTGGTCTTTCATGTCGACCCACTACTGGGATGAAGACCCCCAGGGGACCTGGACCCTCCTTCTGGAAAACAAGGGTGATGCGTATAACACAGGTACACCGCGCAACCTGATCTCAGTTTGGGTAACATCTGCTTGCTCCTTACTGACTCCCAGCTGTTTTCTACGGGCTTAAGGTCAAGACCATTGTTCCTCAACCGTGGCCACTATAAAGCTGTGTGGACTTCAGCTTCCAGAATTCCCCAGCCAGCTATGCTACAAATCTACGAGGTGCTGCAAATCTTTCTTTCTTTCTTTCTTTCTTTCTTTTCTTTCTCTCATTTACTTACTCACTCAGTCATAGAACTTTAAGCTCTGTGGACTTCAACTTCCAGAATCCCCAGCCACCTATGCTACAAATCTCCTTAAGCGGTGCTGCAGATGTTCCTTCCTTCCTTCCTTCCTTCCTTCCTTCCTTCCTTCCTTCCTTCCTTCCTTCCTTCCTTCCTTCCTTCCTTCCCTCCCTCCCTCCCTCCCTCCCTCCCTCCTTCCTTCGTTCCTTCCTTCCTAGAACTTTAAGCTGTGTGGACCTGAGCTCCCAGAATTCCCCAATCAGCTATGCTACAAATCTCTTGATATGCTGCTCTAGATCTTTCTTTCTTTCTTCCTTTCTTCCTTTCTTCCTTTCTTTCTTTCTTTCTTCTTTCTTTCTGTCTTTCCTCCTTCCTTCCTTTCTTTCTTTCTTTCTGTCTTTCCTCCCTCCCTCCCTCCTTTCTTTCTTTCTTTCTTTCTTTCTTTCTTTCTTTCTTTCTTTCTGTCTTTCCTCCCTCCCCCCTTTCTTTCTTTCTGTATCTTTCCTCCCTCCCTCCTTTCTTTCTTTCTGTCTGTCTTTCCTCCCTCCCTCCTTTCTTTCTTTCTTTCTTCCTTCCTTCCTTCCTTCCTTCCTTCCTTCCTTCCTTCCTTCCTTCCTTCCTTCCTTTCTTTCTTTCTTTCTTTCTTTCTTTCTTTCTTTCTTTCTTTCTT